TCCCCATGGCCTTCATGACTGAATTTATGTTTTAGCATCCAATCGAACGCCAGTTTTGCAAGACGTTGCTCTTTCAATATTATATTCCAAGCGCCCTTCTGTATCAACTCTTGAGGGCAATCACTTCATAGCGACATATGTGTTCAAGGTGTCTTTTCAAATATCTCTTTTTTTGCAGAAAGCCTTGTCCACATAGTGAGACGCCTGTCCGTTGCTTACGTTTCTAAGTGCAGAAAAATTGTGTCACCGTGACCTTATTGTGTTCTTGTAGTTGAAGGTGGAAAACACAAGTACGTGAGATGATAAGCCATTCCCATGAATGACACTGTCAGTTTCTTGAGGTCCTTAAAGCTCGTCTAGGATTCGTCTAGGATTTACTCGGGAAAACAAATCCAAAAACATGAAACACAACTGCAGATACGGTTACCATCAATATTGCTGCTGTTACAGTTACTGCTACTGCAAGGGTTATTCTTGCTATTTACTAATACCAGTACTGGTAGCCTCAACTCCAATGCCAAGCTTTCAAGATCGGACTGCCCTTGCTGATTATCTTTCAGAATGGATGCATTCCAGCATGGACATCATTCTGATTCGGGCATAGTTGCTTTTCGGATCAGGTATACACCAATTGCGGCTCTTTTTTTGTTATGGCTTGGAGACGAACATATTCCAACACGGGTGATACGGTATTATAATTGGACATGGATGCTATGGGATTATCTGTACTCCAATGCAGTTGTCATTCCTGTTGGGCGATGGATGCGCTGGGGATCCGATGCACTCCGGGATGGGCATTATGATGGCTTGGGCATAGTGGTTGGATATCATCCAATGCAGATGTTACTTTGGAATGCGCTTCGGGGGGGGACCGGACAAATACAGAGATGTGCGTTGTTTTAGTTCAGGGGTGCTTTGGCTGGGGTTCGGATAAATATTAATGTGGTTGTTATCATGATTTGGGGATGGAATGGGTTTTCGATTTGGAACATGAACCTGGGCCTGAAAATCGCATTGGCACAAACAAAACGCATACGGCATTGCCCGAAACACATGTTCGCAAAAAACCAGAAACAACTCGCCAACCCTCTTCATGGCCTGAAATGCCATGCCTCTGTCGAAAAGTAGTAGTAGTAGTAGTTGTTGTTGTTGTTGTTGTTGTAGTTGTAGTTGTAGTAGTAGTACTATTTCTTTTTCTACTACTACACCTACGCATGCCTCCCCTTCATATGCTTAGCAGGCTTTATCAATAGGACCCGATCAGCCCTGAACTAGGCCTTGGTGGAGAAGATTTGGCAACTTGTGCAAGACTCAAAGCCGGCCCTGAAGCAGAATGTTGAGGGCATCCAGGCCTTTGTTAACGGTCAAGGTCCTAATGGGTGAACCTATCCGGATTCTACGAAATCATCTGAAGTAATGCTTGGGGTCATTGCGGCCCCAAGCAGCAAGTAGGGCAGTAAGGGTCCTCACACCTCTCGTGTTGTGTTAAGACGTGGGGATATGGGCTGCACAACGGTTCCCGTTTGCAGAAGCCAAAGAGGGTTTGTGATCATAACGGTTTCTCATGTAAGCCAGCACTTTGGGTACACATACCTTTGAGGGTCCTGGACTTCGGAAGCTACAACACAACACGCAGTTTTGTACATGTTAGGTTTTTGTGGGCAGTGCCCTAGAATAGATCATTTCAGTCTGGGTGCAGGCCCTCTGGCTTCGACATAATTGGTCGGCATTTGAGTTTGGAACGTAAGCCCCAGAGCCACAATCCATCATTGCATTCGGTAAAAAACCGATTTTACAATCATCAAGTAGTCCCTTTCCATACCAGAAGACCAATTTCTGGAGCGCCAAATAGCAATTTACTTCAAGTAGCTAGTGCCATTGTGAGTATAGCCACTGTGGTTCTATTCTTGTAACCAGCACGACCATGTCGTTGCAATCAATTTTTCCGCAATGATCTGTTGTCACAATGAGCGCTGTTTTCACTTCTGCTATTCAGGACTCATATTCCAACCAACAGTACAAAGCTTCAAGTTGCAGGTCATTTTTTGGCGGCGAACATGTCAGTGTCCACACTTACCCGCAAATTTACGGCATCCTTCTCTCGTTCATATGTTTGGTGTGCAAGGACGCATGGCCAACAAAATTAGCACAATCTAAAAATCACCTTGTCTTTATGCCCTGGAGGCCACGCTGACCACAGAGGGCAAAGGCATGTCGGATTGCGGTGGAGATGCGCTGCAGAAGTGCCTGGCTGAGTCAGGGTTGCAGCTTGTGACGGTTGTGTTTTTCAGGGGAGGAAAAAGTATCCTATGATGTTTTGGATGAAACATGCGAGAGGGATTATCGAAGACAAATCTCACGCAACAAACTGCGCCATGCCATTCGAGCTCATGTTCTTGTGTTTGCGCTCCTTGCAGAACACCTGCCCTTAGCACGTCCCATAAAACAAGGAGCGCTTCGACGTTCAAAACGGATTTTACCGCCAAGAGCGATGCACACAAAACATGCCGGCAGACGGAGAAGTTGAAGCCAGGACTTGTTTGTCTTAACTTTTTTTGTGCAGCTTGGAATACATTCTATGAAGAGAAGTGAAAGCCAGAAAGCATTCCAGACCGCTGAGGAATTTCAACGAACACAAGACATGCGACAAAGACCATGAGACGGCAAAAGCAACCCAGACGACAAGCTGCGATGCTGTTCCCAGATGAAAATATTTAATCGTGTTGTGTTTTTATTGTGGGGCAGAGAAGGGCTTACCGGCTTACCAGGTGGCTGCCATGGAGAAGACCATGTATGAGTACAAGTCCACTTGCGAAGTGCAAGCAGGCGAGACCTTTGAGGCTTTCCACACCCGGATTATCAAGGCATCACAGAAACATCTAGCCGACTACAAGACGGCGAAGTCAGCCTGCGAGGATGCCAAGAAGGCGGTGGAAGAAAAAGAAACAGAATGCACCACTGCGCTGAAGACCTACGAGTCTCAGAAGACGAATTGTGACAGTGTGCAAGATGCGATGGACAGCTATTCATGCTCCTACACTGAAAAGGCCACCACCGAATGCGAGG